ACAATTTAAAAGTCACATCAATCAGCTGTTCTGGGCCTCAATCCCCTGTCTGCAAAGTAGATATAAAAATAATAGCCACCTCTGCACAGATGAGGATCAGTGAGTTCATGGGAAGCCCTTACACCAGCACCTGACTTGGAGCGAACAAATAACAGCCAACCTGATCCTCCTCTCTCAGGTTTGAAATACAGAAATAACACAGTAAAAGAAAACTGAAGGAAGCAGAGAGCACACCCACCGACTGACAACCTCCTTGGAGGCACAGCTTTCCCCTACCTTGTCTAAGAATGGAGACAAGGTGAATCTCAGCCCCTGCCCAGCTGAGCCTGACTCCACTTTGAGATGAACAAGGTCAGAAACTGTACTGAAAAGCACCAGAAACATGGCTGGTGAATGAGCTTCTCTGTGGCATGGACATCAGTGGGCTTTTGCCACTAAATTCCTGGATTCAGCCAATCACCACATGACACACATTCCCCTGAGATGTGTCCCAGGGGCTTTTGCCAGCCCAGTATGAAATTGCATGCCTGTGTGTACAGGGAGAGCACACAACTGAATAGGAGAGAGGGATAGGTGTGAGGAGCTATTTCTCCAAGAGCCACAGCTGGAGGCCAGGGTGCACACACACCAGAGTGGGCCCAAATAGGTGGGAGATTTGTCAGTGCTTTCCCTAAGTAATGCTGTGGAATCTGAGGAGCCACAGGGCTCGGTGCCCAGGGCTCAATGGGCATCCATTCTTTCTTCATTACAAAGATGTATCTATGTGAAAAGACTGACAGAGACAGAGGGAGAAAGAGATCTTCCATCCACTGGTACACTTCCAAAATGGCCCCAACAGCCAGGGCTGGGTTATTGAAACTCCATCTGGACTAAAAACACCATCTGGGACTCCTATGAGGGTGGCAGGGGCCCAAGGGACCCAACCCTCATTTGCTGCCTTCCCAGGCACATTAGCAGGGAGCTGGATCAGGAGTGGAATGGCTGGGACTCAAAACTGCACGTCAGTATGGGATGCCGGCGACGCCAGCCTCCGCTTCACCTGCTGTGCCACAACGTGGGGCTCTCAGTGGGCATTCATTCTCCACGGAGGTCAGAACTGGAGGCTGAACTGAGCTGAAACCAAATGCTGTGGAGGCGCTGCCTGCGGCTCATCTGATGAAGGTACCCGAGAGCTTCTCTCGGAACTGAGAAACGCCCAGGTGAATCCAAGTGGAGCTTCCTCCGCAGAAGGCGGGTCTTGCTTTTGGAAAGGGCTATGATCACCAGCTGATCGGACTCCAGGGTCATTCCAGGACAGAATGATGTCAGTGCCAACACAAGGGAGCAGGCCCTGCTTGCGTAGCCCCACTGCCTGCCACCCCCTTTCCCACCTGCGCAGCTGGTGGAGGGTGCGGCAGACTCGCGGACACACCCATTTCCCAGGCCCAGCGGGTCAGCCCTGCTTCCCCATGTAAGGCAGTTCAGGGCTCGCGTGAGGGGGCAGCTTTGCCTCTCACATGGCCAGTCACCATCAGTGCCCTTCAGAGGCAGCGGCCGAGTCCCCGGTCACTTCCAAAGCGAGCAGCCAGTGGTCTCTCCTCCTGCCATGTGGAATAAGAGCAGTTGTTCCCGGTAGGGCCTGTCCAGGCTCAAGCCCCTTCAGGAAGCCACACAGGGGTCCTGTGAGGTCTGAGCAACCCCACTTCACAAATGAGAACGGAGGCTCAGAAAGGTTAAGCTGCCAGTATCAGAGTTGACCCAGGTTGTGGATCAGTTAAGGCAGGAAGTGCTCTTTCCCTCTCCCTGCTGTCCCTTTAAGGTAGGGAGCAGTGCTTCTCCATGGGGTCACTTTGGGGATTCTGGCAGGACAGCCTGTCCTTAACAGGCTGCCCAGGCATTAGCATTCTGGCCCACATCCCTAGTGCCTGTAGCCACCTCCTGTGTCACCGTAACCTCTCAAACCACCCCATGCGATTCCAAGCACCTGCTGCTGGCCGACTTGAGAACTACGCAGCGGAGTAGAAACAGCCAGCCAGGCTGCTCTTGCTGGGGCACCTGCCACCGTGCCTGTCCCCCAACCCCCTACACCAATGATCCGTGGGAGCGCCGCACAGCTGGGACAGGCCTTGAGGTGGCTGTGGGATCCCAGGGCTGCGAGGCGCACTGCAGCCCTGAGCCAGGTGAGGAGAGTTCTCCTCTATGACTCGACCCTCTGTGTGTGTTCAAAACCTCCCCAGGGGTTGACTGTAAGCCAGGGGAATCTCACCACCTCTCCCCTCCAGGAGTTCCCAGGCCAGATCGGGCTCTGGCAAAACCAAGGAGGCAGTGTAGTTTATTTCTGATTCTTTTACCTCCCATCTGGCGTTTGTCTCCCAGAGCCCCAGGATGCCTCTCTCTGCCCAGCGTCCCTGCACCCCCACTATCTCCCTGTCATGCCCACACTCCCCAGTGGGGGAGCCCTGGGAACCGCATCACTGAGCCAGCGAAGGCTGATGAAGGCCGTGACCTCCCCCCATACACACACCCCTACGCAGGGCCATTCATGCTTTAAAACTGAAGCCACGGTGGTTCTGACCTGTGGCCAGTGTGGTCTAGACAGAGGGACCTCCAAGCTATGTCTGAAATAATCCAGACCCACAGGGCATCTGCTTCTCTTTACTCTCCCCTGGGGGTTCGTGGGACTTTGTGAATTACTCCACCTGAGCCAAGGCTTCAGGGCTGCCAGAGCCCCCGGCCTCAGGCCTTTGAGCTGTAACCACGGAAGGGTCTCTGGGACTGCCAGAGCCCAGCTGACAGGTGGGCTAAGGTCAGCATGAAAAGTGACCAGGCGGAGGCCGGCACTGCAGCGAGGCAGGCTTAGCCTCCACCTGTGGCGCCAGCATCCCATATGGGTGCCAGTTCTAGTCCCGGCTGCTCCAATTCCGATCCAGCTCTCTGCTATGGCCTGGGAAAGCAGTGGAAGATGGCCCAAGTCCTTGGGCCCCTGTACGGAGACCCACAAGAAGCTCCTGGCTCCTGGCTTTGGATTGGCTCAGCGCCAGTCGTTGTGGCCATCTGGAGAGTGAACCAACAGATGGAAGACCTCTCTCTGTCTCTCCCTCTCACGGTCTGTAACACAATCTCTCAAATAAATAAAAAGAAAAGAAAGAAAAGAAAAGTGATCAGGCACAGTGATGAAGCCTGAGGTCCAGTGACTGGGACAGAACTCGGAAGCGTCCAATGCCTCTAGAGACTTCTCAATAGGGGCCACAGGTCAGGCAAAAGGAGCAAACCCAGAAGTGCCCTGTCTTGTTGCTGTGGCCCTGATGCAGGGGAACTGAGCAGGTTCATGGCTGACAAGCCAATGCAGGCCAGGTAACACAAAGAATCATAGGAGCTGCCCTGGGGGATGCCTGTCTGCAATACTGCCACCTTGTGGCCACACTTCCTCTCCCACCAAGATGCTGGAGGTCCTCTCCAGGCTGGAGGTGGTCAGTTCCAGGCCCTGTCTGAGCCGCAGCTCCTGGCACCCCTTTGGCCTCATAAATGCCGTAGCTAAAGAAAGGGCCCCAGGTGCCAGAGCAGCCATGCCTTTTGCCTGCACCCACTGTGCACAGTCAGCCCCCTGCCAGTGGCCATCCAGCACCGCTATCTTCATCCTGGTTCTGCCCCCTGGCAGAGCAGGCGGAGACCAGTGTTTCATGGCCACTACCTTGAATGTGACATTCATCCTTTCTCCAAAGCGTGCTCCATAGGCAATCTCTAACTGCAATGCACAGGGAAGCATTTGGCAATGTGCGTGCTGGCGTGTTTATCTTGTTAGCTGTCAAGATGAGTAAGGAGGCATGTTGAGTGCCATCATTCAGCCTGAACCGGAAAAGGCTACCACTCAGGAAATCTGACAAAATAAGTACATTTTCTAACCTGATTTGTCAGATTGATATGAGGCCTTTGTTTGGAGCTTGTCATAATTGACCTTAAATAGACCCATGAAGACCCAGGCGACGACAGACTGAGTCATCGCAGACCCTCTGTATTAGCGTAAGGAGCTGTCAGCGCAGCCCCCAGAGATGCGTGACAGAGCAGCTATCCGGCCGGCATCCATATATTTCACTTGCCTTTTAATATCCAATTACCCTGAAAGAGCCATCAAAAACCTTACGTTCAGGCCTTGTCACAAATGCAGCTGTAGAGCTACGGGGCAGGACCTGGTCACATTCTCAGCGTTTCTGTGCACCTTCCCAGATGGAAGCTCAAATGCAGAGGACATGGGGGGAGTGTGGATGCTGGGACACAAACACGGACTCGGGAGCTCGGAAAATCCTTGGGGTGGGGAAACAGTATCACCTCCCTGATGCCTCCCTGGGGGATCAGCTCTGGTCTGAGGCTGCAGATGACGTGTTGGTTTAGGGGTTCCCAGGGGGAAGTCCTCTAAGCGCTCGCCTTGTGTGGGATCTCAGATCAGGGGTCCAGGAGGCTGTGTGTTACAGATCTGTAGGGCGTTGGGGGTGGGGGTGGGGGCTGGTGTGGAGACTGAAAGCACCCCTCCTCCCTTGAGGAGAGTGATCTTCCAGTCTCAGGCCAGGAAGCAGGGAGTCGAGTTCAGAAAGGACAAAACAGAAAGCACAATTTTATTTTCTCTGAAAGCTCTCATTTTCACTTTAAATTTATAACAGATTTGCATAATGTGATTGCTCCATTAAGCTAATCAAAATTCAAAACTCTTTAACTTCTCTTCCAGTAAAATTATTTTCCTGAAAAAAAAAAAAAGTGCCGTGTTGATCCTGTGGTCTTAAGTAGTGATAATGGCTACAATTTCCGCAGCGCTTACTGAGCGCTGGGAGTGCCCTACCTAGCTCACTTCAGTCTCACAATGGCGCTGTGTGCGGAATGTCGTCGCCCGCCTCTGGGCTAAGCTACTAAGGACCCGGAGGCTGCCACGGTCTGGGTGAGACCTCACACGGCCAGAAGGAGGCAGAGCTGGGATTTGTGTCTCTGCTTGTTTGATTCCCCAAGCTGGTGCCCTTAACCGTGATGACTGACAGCCCTTGGGTAGGAGAAGACGATCCTTGGCCTGGATTTTCCTGACATTCAGCCGCCGGAGGACAACCGTCTACCAACAGAGCGTGTAAGGCCATCCAGTGAGTGTGTGGAGGGATTAGCACCCGGAGCTCCTTCTCCAAGTCGGGCGTCATCCCAGCCATGCCCAAAGAGGAGGTCCGAGAAGCTGGGTGTGAAATGCGGCTGCAGAGAGAGGTGGGAAGAGGCTGGGAAGGGGAGGCCTCTCCTCCTGCAGAGGTCGCTGTCGTGGCCTCCCGCTGAAGCCGTTTTCCAGTGATACCCAAGGTCCACGTTCAGTCTTCGCCCCACAGCCCATTCCACTTTTCGCCCAGCTGATTGCTCCTCCCTCCCCTTCTTTATCTCCTCTTCCTTATCTCACGGCTCCATGCTCTCTGGTTTCCCTCCCCTCCCGAGCTTCCATTCTTCACTTCCCAGGCAGGTTCCTCCTCATCTCCCCGACCCCTGACCATCAGGGGCGTCCCAGGGTTCAGGCCTCAGAACCTTCCTCCGCTCTCTACTATGGTCACCCCCTGGGTGACTCCAATCCGTCTCAATGCTTTAGAGACCATCTGTGCACTGCTGACTTCCAGATGTGCGTCTCTCCTCTGTGCTACAGCCTCAGAAATCCAAGTGCTCTGTCATCTCAGACTGCACATCTGCAAAACTGAACTCCTGTGCTCCACTCTCCACTGTGCCTTCTAAAGTCACGCTCATCTCCACTGACCGAAACTCCAGCCCTCCCGCACTCAGACCCAAGGCCGCAGATCAAACCTTAGTTCTGTCCGGGGAGGCTGAGCCGTGTGGTACCAGCACAGGGTCAGTGCGGGGTTCGGTGATCATGGCTGAGGTTCTGCCCTGGGAGTGTAGCAGAGGGAAAGAGAGGCAAGGGGGCGACATGCCCCCCTGGACTCTAAGCCAGCAAGGGAGGAACTGAGAACACAGATTGCTGGTTGCTGAAAGATGGCTTGGGACTAAGGTTGGCAGTTCCCATGGAGCCAAAGGGCTGTTGAGAGCCAACAGAGTAATTGCAGGGGTGATCTAGGGAGCCTTGAAAACAGGATCTCAGCTTTCGTGCAGTTGTTTTATACTGTGCCATACACAACAGCATGGCTACGAGGGTAAGGCGCTGCTTGGATGAGGCTGGGTTCTGGGTGGCCACGGATTTTTGTCCTGGATGAAGATTTAAAATAGCCACAAGTTCCTTGTGCATTCGCTTTTATGCTGTTTTTGCTTATGCATATGTCTCCCAGACCAGAGAGCTAACCCAGCAAACACGGGGACACCACCTGTCTAGCACCCGCCACACAGAGCCTCGTACTGAAAGGGACTCCAGGGGCCCCTGGAAAGGAAAAACACATGATGTAACTCTCCAGGAGCCCTGGGGGAAGGGAAGACCGGAGGAGGAAACACAGTGTAGTCTTCTGATGTTGTTAAGTCTGCCTGGGGGACTGATGGAGCACTCTGAACACTTCTGTGCAAAACAGGCTACTCCAATGTCAGTTCCCTGATTGGTTCACAGAGCACATCTCATTAGCATACGTTTGCAGTTCCCCATGTAATGGCTATCCCTGCCTTCTGATTGATTGGTTGTTCTTCCTCCTCTCCCCTTTGTTGGTTATAACTGTACTCACTTTTCAGAAAGAGGTCAATCAGAGCAAGCCACTTTGAGTATAAAAGAGGCAGCACTTGCAAGCTTCTCTGGCAGCCCCTCCCTTGGGGTCCCCTTCCTGATTGCTGTGACGGGAGGGGGGTTCTTGCTTTCAATAAATTTCCCTTTCCTAACTGTCCCTGTCCATATGGAAATTATTTTTTGACATAAGAACTGAAATCGCTCTCACCCCACAACCACATAAATATGTTTCAGTACCACAGTAAGGTCAAAATAAAATTTCAGCAGCTGAAGGGAGAGAGGTGACTGGACGTAAGCACTTCACCTTAGGGGAGGGCTGATTGTACAAATCTGAAACCAGGCCAAGCTTGAGGCCCGAGGGCAGACTCACCCGCAACTCGAGCTGTCTCCTCTTAATTCTGCACTGTCATGACCTCGATTTGCTACTGCTTCAGTCCTTTAAGACCACCCCATGAGCTCTGCCCTATACGAGTCAGCTACTTTCTCTGTGAAGACTCCAGATTCCTTTCTAGTCCAGTCCGTGGGTAGTTACTGAGCAGCTTCCTTCCACATGCCAGACTTGGAAGGCCTGAGTAGAACAGCCACTCACGGTTCTCCTCCATCGTATCTGTGCAGCCTGCAAGACGTGGGTCCCAGCAATAAGAAAAGACCTTTGCTTCCAGGAATCTATCTTGGGAATCCATTGTTTGGGGATTTGGGAGGATGTCTAAAACTCTGAGCAAGCGCCCTGCTTTGCTGAATTTCAGCAGATTGGACCAGCACTGCCTGCTCAGTCAGCTCTCTGCCTTGCTAAGCTGGGCTCCTGCTGTTTCGTATTTATTACTGCAGCAGAATAAGCCCACATGGAACATTGCCTTTCATGTAATGTCTATCCCTTAAAAACCAGATCTAATGCACAATTACTTGAAAACAGGAAAGTGCCAAAAGCAAATGGGTAGTTTTGCATCCCTGTTGCCACAGATCACCATCTAATCCTAAAGCTCCCTGGGAACCAGAGAGACACCCCTTCCTCCACACCCACTGTTGCACCCCATGTCAGTCAAGCTGAGTTAAAGGTTGCAGACCATTGTCATTCCTCTCTCACAAACCCCAGGTGTATTATGATGCACACCTCAGCAGGAAGGCTCTGAACCCTGAGCTTTCTGCTGTCTTCATTCAGGGTCCCCACAATTTTTACTAAACCTACCCCCAGGTTCCTGTTAACTCCTGCAACTTGAAAAAGGAATGCCATTTGATCTACCAAGTCTGTTTATTCGTTATTCGTTTGCTTATTCATTGATCTTTCATTTCTGAGCCAGGCACAGCTCATGGGGTCAGGCAGGCAAGCAGAGAGGCTAAGCAACCCTTGCAACATCACGCGATGACTGCCAACGTAAATGCAAGGCAAGGCTCAGGACATCGGCTGCTTGATGGCAGTGCTTTTGTGTTCGTGTTTTTCTCCCCGTTTGACATAACAGCAGCTAAGATCTACTGAGCAGTTGGTAATGAGCCAAGAATCATGCACAATTTTTCTCAAAACCAAATGGGATCATTATTTAATATCTTTTTGCCCCAGTTTCCCCAACTGAAAGACTGTTGGAAGTCTCCGCTTGTTAGACATGAACGCAACACAGTTTTGTTTATGTCAGCAACTGTAAGCAACACACTCTGTCACTCTGAGCCCTTAGATTTCTCTTCTTTGTTGTTTTCCTCTATTAGAACTTGATGCCATCTATTTTAAATGGCACATTCGTGTTTGCTTCCAAGCTCTTCTCCCACTCACTACCTGTTCAGCGCTAACTGGACTCGCAGCTCCTAGCTCAGAGCCTTGGGCAAGGGCGGGTCAGGACCGAATCTCCATTACCCTCTGATGCCTCTCTTAGGTGCTCACCTTCTGTTGCAGGGAGAAGTAGGGAGGCACCTCCTGCATGAGTGCCCATGTCCAGGTTGTTGGCATCACGCCAGCCCAACAGCCACCACTCTGATTCAACTCACTGTCTGCACACCTAGTGACCGTGGTGAGGCCACACACTCCCGACCAGGGGGCCACACCTCCGGCAACACCTTGAGCATCAGTTGCTCAGTGTTGAGATTCTGTGGCAGAACCCTCTGCTGTCCACTGCACGAACCCTCTGCTGTCCACTGCACGAACCCTACTGCTGTCCACTGCACAAACCTCCTTGCTCCTTTATGTTTCAGCCTCCACAGACCTGCAGCCCCCAACGATCTGTGCTCTGCAGGTGCCTCCAGTCCCTTTGCCATCTGTCTTCTGCAGGTGACCCCTCTCTCACCCCATCAGTGCTATGTAGGTGACCAGTCTCCACCCCATCTGTCCCCTGCAATGACTGCTGTCCCCACCGTGTGTGTCCTCTACTAATGACTGCTGTCCCCACTGTACCACCATCCTCTGCAGGCAACCGTGGTCCCCACCCATCTGTCCTCCACTGGTGACTGCTCTTCTCGACCCCCTTGTTCTCTGCATCTGTCTTCCTACCCTACCTGTCTGTGCCCCTGGACATCTCTTCCCAGTGCTCTGGTCAGTTGGAGGACCAAAAGCATGAATTCACACTGGACTGGACAGCACCAAACCATGAAGGGGTAGCATGTTGTATAGGGGGGTTAAGTGTTTATGATTTGGGCAAGGTGGAGACACTCAGGAACTTAGAACAGAGGAGTTGCATACTTAGATGTATATTCTATCACAGACAGAAGAATGGACAGAATGGACAAGACAGTGTGAAACCGGCAGCACGGAGATTATAAGGAGCTAAAGCCATACTTTCCCACTTGCATACTGTCTGCAAATATGGCTAATATTGATCAATCTTTTTGGTCTTTTGACAATCTCTAGAAGGTGATTCAACAGCTTTGGGTGAGCTGACTCCTTGTGTCTCCATCTTCTTATCCTAGAAGATGTGTGGAGGAAGTGGCGCTATGGCACAGAGGGACAGGCAGTAGCCTGCAGTGCCGGCATCCCATATTAGCACTGGTTCAAGAACTGGCTGTCCCACTTGTGATCTGGCTCCCTGCTAATGCACCTGGGAAAGCAGCAGAGGATGACCCAAGTGCTTGGGCCCCTGCACGCACATGAGAGACCTGGGTAGAATGTCTGGCTCCTGGTTTAGGCCTGGCCCAGCCCTGGCCATTGCAGCCATTAGGGGAGTTAACCATGGAATGGGGGGTATATATCTGTCTCCCTCTCTATAACTCTGCCTTTCAAATAAAATAACTAAATATATTTTTAAAAGATGATGCTCCTGGCTTTGGTTCGGCTCAGCTCTGGGTACAGCAGGCATTTGGGGAGTGAGCCAGCACTCCATTCTTCTGTCTCTCTTTCAAATAAATAAAAGTTATAAAGAAATAAACTAACTTTTTAATCAATTTTCCATGAACTATCTAAAGTATCCTCATGCATCTTTACACAATTGATTTTCACAAAGAAAATTATGAAACTATGCTTAAAACATTGTTAATACCTAATATTTAGTAACCACTTGGTCTAAACTACATTATACTAAGCCCTTTACACATATATTCTCTTTTAATATTCATATCAACTCTGTGAGTAGTTTTACTCATTTTTATTTGAGACAATGTGGGATATACACAGTTTATGTCAGAAACCTAAAGCCAGAGAGCTGGTATGTGAACTCAGGCAATAACCTCTAGGGCCCTTACTCTTAACCATCACTAGTATTGCAATGTAGCTTAGGCATACCCATATGGCAAACACTAAAAACCGAAAAATTTCTTATGTTAGATGTATTAGTGTTAGTAACTTGTTACTAATTAGTCAGTATTCTGAAACATACATAGTGTTATATGGATCATATGTGGCATACTTTTGCCAGAATTTTATATTTAATATATTATTTCTCAATATTGTTATAGAATCCATTTACCCTGGATATGATTATGCTATTGAAAACCATTACTTTAAAAAATCCATATTCTAATTATAAAAATGTTTAATGCCAACTAGTAGTCTAATAATGAAACAGAATAAGTTACCATTTTTAATTTCTGAATTTGAAAAGGTCTCATCAGCTTCTAAATTGTGTAGTATCTTAATGAAACATCTGCTGTAACTGGGAGTTGTGTGGATATGTGTGTGTTTTCTAACTTCAAGAAAAATAAAAGCTTTTACATAAGGAAAAAAAAGATGATGCTGAGGGGCCGGCACCATGGCGTAGTGGGTAAAGCCACCACCTGCAGTGCCAGAATCCCATATGGGTGCCAGTTCAAGTCCCAGCTGTTCCATTTCTGATCCAGCTCCCTGCTATGGCCTGGGAAAGCAGTAGAAGATGGCCCAAGTTCTTGGGCCCCTGCACCCATGTGGGAGACCCGGAAGAAACTTCTGGCTCCTGGCTTCAGATTAGGGCAGCTCCATCCCAGAAGTGGATCAGCTGGGACTCGAACTGGTGCCCATACGGGATGCTAGCACTGCAGGCAGTGGCTTTACCTGCTATGTCACAGTGCTGGCCCCCTGTGGTAGTTTCTTACTGCACCCCTAGGAAATGAATACAAGGGCCAAGTAATTCCAGAGCATTCAAGCCATCTAGATGTATGCGATGAAGACCTGAGGCCTAGAGATGTGACATGGCTCCCCAAGGCCTGCAGAGCTCACAGGTGGCCCCATGGGTGGGCAGTGAGCAGCAGGCCTCAGGCACAGCTCACCGCAGCTGTCATCCCTGACACTTCCCTGACTCCACATTCTCTGCTCTTGCCTGAGCAGGCCCTCCCTCCCATGCAGCAGCCGGAGCCTTTCCTGTTCCCTCTTCCTGCTCATGCAGGGTTAGATCTGCTCGGGGTGCCACAGACTGGACACCTGCCCACAGGCCTGTGCCTGGCCCAGCTCTGCTACCAAGAGCAGCCGTTACCCTTCCCAGGTCATCCTGTGAGCTGGCCCCGGGGGATTCTGCAGCTCCTGCACCCGAACGCTTGCCACCCAGAAGCCGATCCCACTCTCCACGTGTCTCTCTTACTAGACTACACAAACTTCTAAAAGGAAAGAGATCATGACTTTTTTTCTTTTTCAAACTTATCTTCTTTATATCCAGTACACTGCCTGGTCCATGGTGAGCTTATGAAGAGTATCAGATGACCCTTTTTTTTCTTTTTTATTTGACAGAGTTAGACAGTGAGAGAGAGAAACAAAGGTCTTCCTTCCGTTGGTTCACTCCTCAAATGGCCGCTACAGCCAGAGCTACGCCTATCCGAAGCCAGGAGCCAGGTGCTTCTTCCTGGTCTCCCATGCGGGTGCAGGGCCCAAGCACTTGGGCCATCCTCCACTGCCCTCCTGGGCCACAGCAGAGAGCTGGACTAGAACCGACGCCCATATGGGATGCTGGCACCGCAGGCGGAGGATTAACCAAGTGAGCCACAGCGCAGGCCCCAGATGACCTTATTATTAATTGAGTCACTTCTTTACAGGCTGCCAAACGTGTCTGCATTGTGCGGAGAGCACCTGAGATCTGCACTCAGTTTACCTGGGGTGCCCCACCCTAGGCAGAAGTATATTTGCAAAGCATAGGTTGCCAGCAGTTAGCACAGACTCCACAAGAAGAAACTGTTGCCTGCCCAAGTCAGTCTGGCAGTGCTCAGTTATAAAACGTGGAACCTCTGTCTATACAGGACTTGGAGGGAGGAGTCTTTCATATGCTGAGATGCGGGTATCAAGCTGAGTATCCATGGTAATCGCCCTCCCTTCCACACCACACCTGACTGTCCCAGGTGTTTCTCCTTTGCTGCTGAGGGACAGTTCGGATTCCTGAGGGATTTCTGTCTTGTTTTGAAGCAGAACCTGAGCCAAAGACATCATCTCTGACTACTCAGCTCGGGCTGGAGGTGCTGACAGGGCCCTCAATGACACCACACAGATGTGAAAAGCCCCAGCTTCTCCTCCCTCCACAGTGGCTCTAGGTTCTTCTACCAGACCTTGTTTCAGGAACAAACAGGCAGAGGGGACCGATGACTGCAGTGTTGTGTGACAGTCACCTAGGAGACCAGCTGCGCCTCTCGATTCTGAGCAGCCCCAACTAAATGAGGCTCTGTGCACCCTGTGTGGTGGGATCACGCCTTCAGCATGGAGAAGGGAGACACTTGGAGCTGCCCCCCCTATCTGCACCATCTTAGAGAGGAGGGACCTGGGGCCCAGAGAGATGACCTGCCTGCCCCACCATCCCAGAGCCAGTGCTGTCTCATTAGGACATAGCTCTCAGCCCTGGGCTAAATCATCACAAGGTGCTGTGTTTTTAAAAATTCCTTCAGAAATAAAATCACACAATCCTCCTCGCTTTGGGGGGTGGGGCTGTTAGGGGGGCACTGGATAAGGGCAGCCTCATTTGCCATTAGGATAGCATGGGATCCCCGAGGGGAGGTCAAGCTGCCGTGCGGGCTCCTTGGCTCCCCACTGCTCTAACTCCTGCATCTCCCTTGCTCCTGGGTATTGGCTGGGCAGCTGGGATTGGCAACAGCCAGAGATCTGAGAGAGACAGGGGTTCCTAGAAGCTCTGTCCCATTTCCTGAGTATCCACAGCCTGATCCTGGCTGTTTCAGGCATTTGGGGAGTGAACCAGTGGACAGAAACTCTCTCTCTACATCTCTCTCATGCCATCTCTCCGAATTTCAAAAAAATAAAAATCAGAATAAATTTGTAAAAGCTCCTCTCTCTCAGTGTCCCAGTATTGCAGCAGATGGGCATGGGACAACACTCACTAAATAGCTACTTTTTCCTTCTTGGGTCTTGAGTGCACGTCCCAAAGACTCGAGGCACGCGGTGCCTTCACTTCCACGACAGCCCCTGAGCACACAGTCCTGCTGGAATCCACCCCTGCAGCTTCTCGTTCCCAGCCCTCGGGGGCCCCTTCACCCCCTGCCTGCTCCCCAGCCTGGTTTTCCAATATTTCCTTCAATTCCAAGTGCCTGAGCCATTTCTCAAAACCTCTTTCCCCTAACTTTCTGTTGCTTGCAACCAAGGAACCCTAGAGGATGTGAATGTCTGCACAGATAATCCTCAGCAGATGTGGCCAAGCCCAAAGGCATCACCTAGTGCCACCAAGAGAGGAAAAATGCTGAATGGGCTGGAGGTGGGGCGACCTACAGGAGCAGGGTCCAAGGAGCTGGCACAAAGGTGACATTCAGGATTGGAAAAAGCTCTCACGGGGTCAGCAAACGACCTAACACTCGAGCAAGCACAGTGACAGGGTGCCCGTGGCGCAAGTGGAACAGGTGCAAGGAGAGAAGAGGGCAGAACACATCCCAAGCTCCCCCTCTGCCGCTGCTGCTGCCTCATGACAGCCAGAGCAGGTCCCGACTCAGCTTCCTCTCCAGAATGGAGATGCTCTGACATCACCAGATGCAGCCCTGCACAAGCCAGCGCACACCACCTCCTTCCCACCTCTGGGCAGGAGCCATGGGGAAACAGGATGGGGTATCTCAAGTGCTGAGAACAAAGCAAAGCCAAAGAAAACCTCCGGCTGCCTCGTACCCTCACAAGCAGCCTCCCCTAAGTGTCCAAGCCCAGACCTTCCACTGGGGCACACCTTGGGTGCACAGCAGCTTTGGCTTCCAAGTCCCTTTCCCCCTCCCCAGCCCAGCCTACTAAAAGAAAAAAAAATCCCACTTTGATGTTTACTCCATTTCCTGCTGGGCCACAGTGGCCACATCTGAGCTTCATGCTTTCATTGGGACCGTGATTGGAATGCTCCGGATTAGTGATTTCCATAGAGATTTGAGCAAAACAACAAATCCAAGTAAATTGTTTCTGACAAAACTCTGGCAAAAAAAAAAAAAAAAAGAAAGAAAAGAAAAAAAAAAGGGAAGAGAACCAACTGCATATTATAATCCTTATAGCACAAAGCAGAGGTGACAGTAATTTGTCTGGTGGTCCACAGCCGTCAGGGACAAAGGCAGGATAGGTCCACGCCTGCCTCCTCCTTCACCAGGCATTGGAAGCAAGGCCTAGGAAGGGTTTGTTCAAGGTTCGAGCTGCTAGCTCCCAGACGAGGAGGGGTCTTGGAGGAAAACGTTACAATGCGATTGTGCCAAGCATCTCTTTTCGATATAAGATTTACAGAACATTAAGCACCACCCACAGCCAGTTCTGGATAGGGCTCCCACTGGAGAGGGCTGGGAAGTGCTTCGGTCTGAGCTTTCTCCCCGCGGCCCTCCGAAGCATCACCTTCCAAGGGGAACGCTGTGTCGGAGGTTTGGCAAGGAGGAGGCATTTCCTTCTGAAGGAAAGAAAATACATGCTTCGGTGGCTGTGGCTCAGGTAGCACTGCTTCCCAGAGGAAATGAAAGTCTTTGAGAGGAATGTTTGTCTCATTCGGTATAAATAATGTTGATTTGTTTATGTCTTAACCTCTGTTTGGTGCTTAATGAGCAAAAATATATCATGTAAGACTGGGAGCACACTGAATTCTTTTTAGTGGGCCACGCTGGGATAAATAAAGATGAAAAGCAGAGAGGCCCATTGTGGCTCAGATGAAATACAGTGTTCTCAACTCAGCTGATCAGAAATGTGGATGACTCAGGTTAGTCCTAGGAAATATCAGCTCTTTCCTTGGGATTTTTCTTTTTTTCTTCTTGCAAATCATGATGCCTGGAAATTAAATTTTTTTAAAAAAATCTTCATCTACTTGAAAGGCAGCACAACATAGAGATAAAGAAAGAGAGACTTTTCCATCTGCTGGTTTGTTCCCCAAATGTCCACAGCAGCCAGAGCAGTCTGAAGCTAGGAGGCAGGACCATATCTGAGTCTCCCCAATGGGTGGCATGGACCCAAGTACTTCAGCCATCGTCTGCCGTCTCCCAGGCTCATTAACGGGAAGCTCAAAAGGAAGCAGAGGAATTGGGACTCAAACCAGGCATTCAGAAATGGGATGCTGGCATCTCAAGCAGCAGCTTAACCCATTGTGCCACAACGCCTGGCCCTGGACATTTTAAATTACTTCTTAGCATTTGAAAAGTGATTATAAGATTTGCTTTCAAGTGATCCCTGTTAGGAATTTGGAAAACATTATGTTGAGTGAAATAAGCCAATCCCAAATGGACAAATACCACTTGTTCTCCTTGATAGGTGACAACTAACTGAGCACCAAAAAGGAAACCTGTTAAAGTGAAATGAACACTATGAGAAACGGTGACTTGATCAGCCCTCACCCTGACTGGTGATGAGCAGCTTAATATGTTATCCCTCTTAGTATTTTTTTTTGTTTGTTCTACTTAATACTTTTGGTTGAATACTGTAATCAATACACAATTCTTCTTAAGTGCTGAAACTTAACTGAAAAGTGATTGCTGTTAAATATAAGAGTGGGAATAAGAGAGGGAAGAGATGTGCAATTCAGGACATGCTCAAGCTGACTTACCTCAAACGTAGAGTTAGAAACATACCAGGGGATTCCAATTCAATCCCATCGAGGTGGCATGTACCAATGCCATCTCACTAGTCCCAGTGATCAATTTCTGTTCACAATTGATCGTAATGATAGGACTAAGAACCAAAGGGATCACATAAACAAGACTAGTGTCTGCAAATACTAGCTGATAGAATAAAAAAGGGAGAGAATGATCCAACATGGGAAGTGAGATACACAGCAGACCCATAGAATGGCAAATGTCCTAACAGCACTCTGGCCTCATAATCAGCCCTTAAGGCATGCGGATCCGGCTGAAATGCCCATGAGAGTATTTCAGGCATGGAAAGCCAAGACACTTTAGGGGGAAAAAAAAAACCTAAATGAAAGATCTCAGCGAATGAGATCCCAGTGGAAAGAATGGGTCATCAAAGAAGGAGGTACCTTTCTCTGAAGGGAGGAGAGAACTTCCACTTTGACCATGGCCTTGTCTAAAAATTATCAGAGTCAGTGAACTCAGGGGGCTTCCATAGCCTTGGAAACTCATGACAAGAGCCTAGGGTGATTACTGATGCCATAAACAAGAGTGTCAATTTGTTAAGTCAACAACAGGAGTCACTGTGCACTTACTCCTCATGTAGGATCTTTGTCCTTAGTGTGCTGTACATTGAGATTTAATGCTATAACTAGTACTCAAACAGTATTTTTCACTTTATGTTTCTGTGTGGGAGCAAACTGTTGAAATCTTTACTTAATGTATGCTAAACTGATCTTCTGTATATAAAGAGAATCGAAAATGAATCTTGATATGAATGGAAGGGGAGAGGGAGTGGATAAGGGGAGGGTTGCAGGTTGGAGGGATGTTATGGGGGGAAGCCATTGTAATCAATATTCTGTACTTTGGAAATTTATATTCATTAAATAAAAGTTTTAAAAAAAAGAAAAAAAAAGGAAGACCTTTCTCTCTGTCTCTCTATCTCTCACTGTCCACTCTGCCTGTCAAAAAAAAATGAATATTAGGTAGAACTATATGAAATTGCCAATATTATATATTTTTGACTTAACAAAATGTAAAAAAAAAAGAGCATTTGGTTTTTCCTTTGGAAAAAAAAATCACATTTTGTTATCTCAAAAGTCATGGGGGCCTGATATTACCGTATTGGTTAAGGAGTGCACATGTGACCTGAACTGAGCACTAGATACATAGAGCTGTATACATGGTCCAGCTGGAGTAATGAAAAATGGGTCATGGAAATCTTTGATTAAATGATAGAAATGAGTTTGTTCTTTTGCTACTGCAATAAAACTGTGATAATGCAAGAAAAAAAATATTTGCTTTCGATATTGTGTGTTATAGTGCAGTTGAGGATTGGCCAAGTTCCTTGATTTGATTTCAGAACCAACTTCAGTAGTTACTGGCTGTTGCCTCTTGGGAGAACCATTTTTCTGCTCAAACCTCAGTTACGGCAGGTGTGAAAGGGAGGTTGATAAGACCAAGCTCATGCCAGGACTATTATGGAAATCAAATGAAATAATGAATAAAAAGTGCCTTGAGACATATCAGGAATGAAACAATTATGAGAAAGATGGAAAATGAAGCTAAGTTTTATTGTGTGCTCAGACCCCTTGCAAGTTGTCTCTTGGCAACAGCTTCCTGACCCCTTCTCTACACTTTCAATCTTGTCACCTTCCCCAGTGACACCCAAAATGACTTAAATCATATCATGTCATTTTCAGTTCTAAAACCCTCCACTGTTTTCCCGTGGCAAGTGTAATCAATGGGATCCTGTCTGACGCCACCCCTCCTTCCCAGCCCTGTGCAGTGCCTACCACTCAGATTTTGTTTAGCCACACTAGTCTTCCTCCAGTTCTTTGGCCATGCTCAACTCCCTTCTGCCTCAGGACTTACGCACATACACTCCCTCTTCCTGGGAGTCTTGTCTCCCTTTCTGAACCCAGCCAATCGCCATCCTCCTTTTCAATTTGTATCTCACGGCCTCCCTCTGCCTGTCTGCTGAACTGAGCAGACAGGTTGTGCAATGTGCCTCTCCCGGTGGTCCTGCTCTCAGCCTCCACCACACCCCCGTTACACCCCGGATGTTCAGTGCACTCCTGTTTCACAGCAATGCGCACTTCTGTAGTCCTTTGTTTGCTAAATGTCCATCTTCTCTACTAGGTCATCAGAGTAGGGACCATGATTCTCCCGCTTAACTATCATCTTCAACACTTGCAACAGCACCTGCTTACAGAAGCACTCCGTGGGTGTGTATGGACTGACTCTCCATGAAGTATGAGTGCACGTCATACCATCTCGATCCGGTGTCACTAAACAGGCATGAACACTGAGGTTTTTGCAAGTGTGAGGGTACATTGTCACATGTTTGTTTAAAAAAAATGGAATGCAAAGATAAGTTTATTTCGGTGCAAAAAAGTTTGACGTCCACCTATGTTTTCTTCATACTATGCATTTTTCATGAGCTTTTTGAAAATACCTCATTGGCATAGATTTCAAATTTTTTTTGCACCAAAATAAACTTGCCTTTAAGTTCCATTTTCCCAGAATGTTTCCAAGCACCTTCCTGTCTCAGCAGCTCCCCATTGTCCATCTCCATCCTCACTGCCAGCATTGACAGGGAAACTTGGAAGCCCTGGGATGCCACAGGCCAGATGCAGAGGACTCTAGAGTCAGTGGGGCCTGAAAACTGAACCCTGCTCTCTGCTGCTGGGACACTTCCCTTGCCATTACAACTAATTAGCTCCTCTATGCAGAAATGTATTATTCCAAGGAAACATATGAGAGCAGAGCCTGAAGTCTTAAAGATTTGAATTTTAATCCTGCCCTATTACAGGCCAGCTGGTGATTACTGGTGAGTAATTAGAAATTGGGTTGTCCTTTAACTTTGCTGGGATTTTTTTTAATGAAGCAAAGCACTCCGTAAGATTAACCCTGAGCTCTAGAAGAAGCAGCCTCTAGTAAAATGGCTAGCATTATTATTATGCAGCTGATTAATAGTTCTCTCAAAGCGGGCAGTCACCATTGCATCTGTCTCACTTGGTCCTTAGGCTGTAGTGATCTTCAGACATACCTTGTTGATTAACCAATCACAAAGGATTTAGGAGCAGGAGTTGAGGATGCCCGTGCTGTGGTTTGCATAATATTAAAATAAATAATCCTAGCAAGTGCAGAGCTGTTGTTTGGTGAGACCTCATTCATTCACTGATTCTTGTCTAACGCCTGCCTTCTCTGCGCCAGGGACTGTGGTACATGTTGGCAAAGACGTGGTTCTGGCCTTTGAAGACTTTATCAGCTACTGCAGGGAGTCTGGGGAAAGGGAATGCCCATATGCAAGCCGAGAGTTGCAAGCAGGGGGTTTGGTCAGCCCTGATGGAGACAGGAACAGCGGCCCACAGCAGCACCGGGGCAGGCTGATCTACACAGATTCTCAGGGACACCATTTCCAACAAGGTCATGCTGAGTCTGCCCCAGAACCTCCAGGGAGAGAAGACTGTCTGGAGCTATGCATAAGCAGGTGGAGCCAATCTCACCCCTTCTGGCTGCAAGTTGTTTGCTTCAAGTCCCTGAGTCCCCTGTCATCAGAGAGCATGCAGGCCCACCCTGGTCCCCTCCCTGGAAGGAGAACAGACAGGACTGTGTGTAGAACATCAGTCCCTCCTTATCTCCAGGGCTTCTCAGTAGGAGGCTCGTGGGCAACAACGTGCCTCCAGATTCCTCTTGAATGTGTGGGATTTGGCAGCGTATTTTTCTTGCCTGCATGCTTCTTCACTTTAGATGAACTGTAATTCTTGGGTTTCTGACTTGTTTACACTCCTCAAAATGCCACTCTTCGTTCAAGGTACAAGGAGCCTCCAGATGCTTTTCGTTCCAAGGATGGTAGAGTTTTGAATCCCTGAAGTCCAAAATGTGATCCAGATCTGAACCTGGAAAATCAGAGAAAGTCCGAGTTATACAAGGTGCTTCAAAAAATGCACAGAGAAACGGAATTTGAATAATAAATTTGGGGCCGGCGCTGTGGTGTAGCAGGTTAAAGCCCTGGCCTGCAGTGCCGGCATTCCATATGGGTGCCGGTTCTGGTCCCAGCTGCTCCACTTCCGATCCAGCTCTCTGCTAAGGCCTGGGAAAGAAGTAGAAGATGGCCCAAGTCCTTGGGTCCCTGCACTCACATAGGAGACCTAGAGGAAGCTCCTGGCTCCTGACTTCAGATCGGCGCAGCTCCAGCCACTGTGGTCATCTGGGGAGTGAACCAGTAGATGAAAGACCTCTCTCTCTGTCTCTACCTTTCTCTGTAACTCTTTCAAATAAATAAATCTTAAAAAATAAATTAATAATAAATTTAATTTGGTGCAAAAAAATGGAAATCCATGCATAGTGTCTTTATAATATACATTTTTCATTAACTATTTGAAGACTCCTCACATGCCTTGATTTCCAAAATTTTTTGCACCAACATAAACCTATCTTTAACTTCTATTTCCGTGAACTTTCTGCAGTGCCCTCACATACACTGCCATCTCTGACTCTGTGATTTCCCCAGGGCTGGTGAGGAGACGGTATAACAGTGCAGGAGTGAAGTGGACAGCAAGTTGGAGCTGACTGCGACCGTCACACCTGCCTTAGCCTTTGTTGCTTACTGAATCTTGAGTTCTGCAGAGGGTGTATATGATGGGAAACTTTCTGATAAGCTTCCTGGAGGAAGGATTAGAGCCAGGGAAACGAAGGACAGAGCTAAAGAGGTCCACGTTAGAAATGGACGGAAACTTGGGGATAAAGGAACAACACAGGAGAGAAGCTTGGCGTGGGAAAGGGGAGGACCAAGCCCCGTGGAAGCAGCCAAATAATTCAGAAACAAGACGGTATCACACTGTGCTTTGAATCCTTTTCTGATGCTATGGTATAAATCATTTCATTTCTCAAACCTTCAGTGAAGTCATCTATACACACACAAAAATGCCTGTGTGAGAGGTTTGTGGGAGAAAAATTAATGACCAAGTTCCACATTTGGGTGAGACAACGCCTAAACTAATGAATTTAGTGGAAGCAGGAACTCGCAACCTCGGGTCACCACAGGCATGTAAATTACTCAGAAATTCCCATGAATTGAATATTCCATAATCTGTCATGCAAGAAAACATTGTTTGAGTGTCCTCTCCCCTTTGAAAACTCGTGTTGAAAGTGTAGCCCAATGCAACAGTATTAGATGGTGGGATTAATGCCACTGTAAAAAAGTCAATGAGGGATGAGCGCTGTGGCCTGCCACGCCAGCACCCCATACGGGTGCTGGTTCAATTCTCAGCTGCTCTACTTCCAAGCCAATTCCATGTTAATACACCTGGGAAAGCAGAAGAGCATGGCCTTAGTGCTTGGAACCCCCCTTCCATGTGGGAGACCCAGGTGGAGCTCCTGATTCCTGGCTTTAGTTTGGCCCAATGTAGCCATTTGGGAAATAAACCAGCAGATGGAAGATCTCTCTCTCTCTCTCTCTCTCGCTCTCGCTCTCACTCTCTCTCTCTCTCTCTCTGTAACTCTGCCTTTCAAATAAACTCATAAATTAAAAAAAAAATGAATCAGTTAATGCCACTATTTTCATTTTTCCCCCAGAAACCTTTTATTTAAGGAATACAAACTTCATGCTTTTCAAATACAATTTTAAGCACATAGTGATTCTTTCCACCATACCCAACCTCCCACTCCCACTCACACCCCTCTTCCTCCTCCCTTTCCTGTTTTCTTTTTTCTTTCTTTCTTTTTTTTTTTTTTTTGACAGGCAGAGTGGACAGTGGTGAGAGAGAGAGAGACAGAGAGAAAGGTCTTCCTTTGCCGTTGGTTCACCCTCCAATGGCAGCTGTAGCCGGCCCATCGCGCTGATCCGATGGCAGGAGCCAGGTGCTTATCCTGGTCTCCCATGGGGTGCAGGGCCCAAGCACTTGGGCCATCCTCCACTGCACTCCCTGGCCACAGCAGAGAGCTGGCCTGGAAGAGGGGCAACCGGGACAGAATCCGGTGCCCCGACCAGGACTAGAACCCAGTGTGCTGGCGCCGCAAGGCGGAGGATTAGCCTAGTGAGCCGCGGCACCAGCCTCCTGTTTTCATTCTTATTTTTTACTAAGATCTATTTTCAATTAACTTTATGAACATATGATTAACTTTATACTAAGTAAAGAGTTCAACAAATAATAAGAAAAAAGAAAAAACTGTTCCTCAACAATCAAGACAAGGGCTGTTCAAAGTCACTGCATCTCAAAGTGTCAATTTCACTTCTATAGATTACCTTTTAGGTGCTCTATTAGTTATCACAGATCAGGGAGAAGATATGGTATTTGTCCTTTTGGGACTGGCTTATGGTGTTTCCAGTTTTATCCATTTGTTGCAAATGACCGCTGTGTAGTATTCCATACTGTACATATCCCAAAATGTCTTTATTCAGTCTTCAGTTGATGGACATTTGGGTTGATTCCATGTCTTAGCTATTGTGAATTGAGCTGGATAAACATGGAGGTGCAGATAACTCTTTCACATGCTGATTTCATTTCCCTTGAGTAAATTCCCAGGAGTGGGATAGCTGGGTCGTATGTTTAGTCTATATTCAGATTTCTGAGCTATTCCTATACTGTCTTCCATAAGGCTGTACCAGTTTATATTCCCACCAACAATGGATTAGGGAACCTTTTTTTCCCACATCCTTAACAGCATTTGGCTGTTTGTTGATCTCTGTATGGAAGCCATTCTAATGGGGGTAAGGTGAAACCTCATTGTGGTTTTGCTTTGCATTTCCCTGAGGGCTAGTGATCCTGATCATTTTTTCATGTATCTGTTGGCCATTTGGATTTCCTCTTTTGAAAAATGCCTGTTTAAGTATTCTTTTTTTTTTTTTTTATGTGACAGGCAGAGTTTGACAGTGAGAGAGAGAGAGACAGAGAGAAAGTCTTTCTTCTGTTGGTTCACCCCCCAAATGGCTGCTATGGCCAGAGCTGCGCTGATCCAAAACCAGGAGCCAGGTGCTTCTTCCTGGTCTCCCACGCGGGTGCAGGAGCCCAAGTAGTTGGGCCTCCTCCACTGCCCTCCTGGGCCACAGCAGAGAGCTAGACTGGAAGAGGAGCAACCAGGACTAGAACCCAGTGGCCATATGAGATGCTGGTGCCACAGGCAGAGGATTAACCTAGTGAGCCACAACGCTGGCCCCTGTTTAAGTATTCTGCCCATTTCTTAACTGGGTTGTTTGTTTTGTTATTGTTGAGTTTCGTGATCTCTTTATACATTCTAGTTATTAATCTTTTAGCAGCTGCATAGTTTGCACAGCTCTCATGTGACAGCTCTCAGTGTCACAGCTCCCTCCTCTCTGTTGGGTCACAGCTTCTCCCCTCTGCCAGGTTTGTTGAGTGTTGCTGCCTTCTGGGTCACAGCTTCTCTCTCTGTTGGCTCCGTCAAGGAATGCTGCTCTCTTCTGGGTTGCTGCTTCTAGGCTGTGCTGGGTTCTTTGTCTCATGACCACAAAGAATGGGGCATATGGAGAAGGAAGGAATGAGCAAAGCTCTCCAGCAGCCGGAAGGGCCAGCCCTGCAAGGGACTAACTGTCCTAAAGGGCTGGCTGCCCCGGAGGGCTACTTGCCCTGAGCTGTTTCTCAAACTGCCTGGCTCAGACATTTATGAGTTTCTAAAGCAGGAAATTTTCCCTGATTGGTTGATATGTATGCTAATGAGATACGTTATGTGAACCAATCAAGGAACTGCCATTGGAGAAGCCTGTTCTGGACAGAAGTGTGCAGAGTGCTCAGTCAGCTCCCTCCGGCACACTCAACAACATCTGAAAATTACATTGTGGGCCAGTGCTGGGCCCAGTGGTTTAAAGCCCCAGTCTGCAGCGCCGGCATCCCATATGGGCACCAGTTCGAGTCACAGCTGCTCCTCTTCCAATCCAGATCTCTGCTACGGCCTGGGAAAGCAGAAGAAGATGGCCCAAGTCCTTGTGCCCCTGTACCCACATGAGAGACTGGGAAGAAGTTCCTGGCTCCTGGCTTTGGATCAGTTCAGCTCCAGCCAATGCGGTCAACTGGAGGAATGGAAGACCTCTCTCTCCCTGGCTCTACTCTTTCTGTAACTCTGTCTTTCAAATAAATAAAATAATTCTTTTTTTAAAAAAAGATTACATTGTGTATATTTTCCCCATTTCCTGTCTCCCTCTCCCTATAGGCTCCTGGAGAGTTAAGTGATGTGGGTTTTTTTTTTTTTTATGTGTTTTTTCTTTCCTATGTTTATCCTTTCTTTTCCAGGGTCCCCTGAAGTCCCTATCAAAGACATCCCAATTAACATCTAGGCTTTACACCTCTATTATCTCATTTGATCAGACAACAAACAGAAATAATTATCCTCCTCTTCCAAATGTTCAGAGTCTATTCTTTCCAAAAGTGCCATGCTTAAAGAGTAACATATCCAGAATTTGAATTCAAGTCTTTTAGGAACGTTCTCTTTGGAGATTATTACAGGCTCACAGGAAGTTTTAAAGATAGTACAGCAGTCAAGCGAATCCTTCTGCAACTTTAGGAAATTCTTCTGCGATTAAATGTTCTCCCTACCACCCACTGAATCTGGGGATAGAGTTAAGCCACAGAGACTGGAATTTATGCTAGAAGAGCCCTTTTTAGGTTTATATATTGTCAGGCACTGGGTCTCTTGCTGGGAACCAGAAAGGAAGCAGATTAAAAAAAAAAAAGTTCAGCCCAAAGAAGTTCAAGGCCCACAGCAGTGGCTGTGAGCCCTAGGAGCACATCTGACTCACCAGTGGAGATGTTTAAAAACACCAACGGCTGTGTCAGCCTCAGGCTCTCGTCTGATCAGTCAGGTCTGGGGCTTCCGCATCAGAGTTTTCTGAAGCTCCTCTGGCATTTCTAACAGGCACTAGAAGCTTCCATGTGAGCCCATCCTC